GTAGTTAAGAACCGTAGCCATTTTAAAAGTTTAAAAGTTTTCCGTATTTTCTTACGCATACGTACCTAAACATAGCACTTTTTACTAATATCTAAACGACCGTTCAGTATACATACATAAATACATACATACAAATTTATACATAATTTGTTATTTTTATTTTATTATATATTTTTTTTTTTAATTTTTTACAAAACCGTGTTATAAAAACCGTAATAAAGTTTTTTTTTTTTCAAATTTTAAATAAAAAATAAAATAAACCTGAAAATTTATACATACTAGCAATATAAAATATAAAGCAATATACAATACGAACTCAAATAATAAATATTTATACATCTATAAAAAGCTATTAGTTTCAGTGCAATCTAAATGTAACTATATACTTAGGTAAACTTAGTTTTAGTAATAGGTAGACAAATCCATAACACTAGTAATATAGAAAAACTTTCTCCATAGAATGAATTAGATTTTTAAGCTTAGTTTTGAAAATAGAAAAAGAGAAAGGTAGATCAAAATTTTGCAAAATAACTTTATTCCAGAGATTAGGTGCACGATAATCTATACAAAGCTGATTAAACTTGGTTCGACATAAAACTTGACTAAGCAATTTATTATTTCTCAGTGCATATTTATTGTCTGGTTTCAAAGTAAAAATATTTTTAAAAACGTCAGGAGATAAGTTATTTTAATGTGCTCATCAAGATAGACTCCTAAAAACTTTGGTTAATAACTATTTTAGGCAGTTTTATGGGTAGATAACGTTTTTTTTGAAGCGGGTGGAAAATAATCCATTTTGTTTTATTAGTATTAAGAATTAACTTGTTACAGTTGAACCAGCTAGATATTTTTTTAAGTTCCTCATTCATATTACAAAACAGTTTCGAGATGTCAGTATCAGAAAAGAATAGGTTAGTATCATCAGCAAATATAATGCTAAGTAGATTTGAAGCTTTATTTAAGTCATTAATGTAAATCAAGAATAAGAGGGGTCCCAATATAGAGTCTTGAGGAACACCGCAAGATATATCTAATAAATTTTTTTGGCAATCATCCTCACAGGAAACAAATTGCTTACGGTTTGATAGGTAGCTTTCAAACCATCTTAAAATTTTTTTTGTTTATACCATAATATTTAAGCTTATGCAGTAATATAGTGTGATCTACTGTATCAAAAGCCTTAGGTAGGTCAATAAAGATACCTAGTGTGTATTGGGAATTTTCAAAGGATTTTGAAATTTGCATGTTCCGTGGAGCTGTGCTTTTCAAAGCCAAATCGATTGCAATATAGTAGGTTATTACATTGAAAATAATCATAGACTCTATTATGCATAATTCTTTATAATATTTTTGAAAATAGAGGTAAGATAGAAATGGGTCGGTAGTTGCTAATAATATCACCTTCTTTAAAAATTGGGGTAATTTTTGCAATTTTTAGTTGTTTTTAGTAGTAGTAGTAGTAGTAGTAGTAGTAGTAGTAGTAGTAGTAGTAGTAGTAGTAGTAGTAGTAGTAGTAGTAGTAGTAGTAGTAATAGTAGTAGTAGTAGTAGTAGTAGTAGTAGTAGTAGTAGTAGTAGTAGTAGTAGTAGTAGTAGTAGTAGTAGTAGTAGTAGTAGTAGTAGTAGTAGTAGTAGTAGTAGTAGTAGTAGTAGTAGTAATAGTAGTAGCAGTAGTAGTAGTAGTAGTAGTAGTAGTAGTAGTAGTAGTAGTAGTAGTAGTAGTAGTAGTAGTAGTAGTAGTAGTAGTAGTAGTAGTAGTAGTAGTAGTAGTAGTAGTAGTAGTAGTAGTAGTAGTAGTAGTAGTAGTAGTAGTAGTAGTAGTACCCAAGCTACCTTTTAATGATCCCTGGCGTTACGTTTGGAACCCTCATGTTACATTTTGTCCCTCATGTTACACACTCGCAGAAAGTGTGGACTTTAATTTCCACACTAAGTGTAGAGGCCGTAATTTGCGCAATTATGTGGACTTTCGATTCTGTATTTTTGTGAATTCCTATTAAATACTGTATTTGCACAGTTTTGTGGAAAAAAAAGGCGCGAGGTATGCGTAATTAAAATAATCGTTACATTGTTGATAAGAATAATAGTCTACATGTTGAGAAGCATTCGCAGCATATTATTATATCGCATATTAGAATCTCTATTTATATACTATCTATAAACGTTCATTCATCTTATATACTATCTATAGTCGTTCACTCATTTATCTGACTAATTTTAAAAGTATTTATTGGGTTTTTTACAGACTGTATTCATGTTATCTTTGTAATAAAAGTTTTAATGCTATAGCTCAGTTAAGATTTCATTTGCATCGGCATAAAGACAACGGACAATTGTATATACCAATATATTGTCGCCAAGAAAATTGTAAAAGTTCTTTTACTGTATTGTTTAATTTTGTTCGTCATTTGATTTCTAACTACCAAAAGAACACTGACATCAATCGCGAAGTAGTTTTAGCAGGTGAATCCCAAGTAGAAATTTTGTGTAATTCTACAGTCAGCTCTGCAACTTGCGCAAATCGCTTAACAGATGGTTCTAATTGTAGCCTGAATCCAGAGTCATCTGTGAACTGTTTAAATTTTTTAATGGGTGTTAAAGCTGAAGGAGCATCACTTGTCACACAACTTCATGCCAATAGCAGCATTCCTTATGGTATTATTCCTACAATTGTCCAATCATATAACAATATGGCAAGATCATTGTCAGGTTATTTTAAAGAAGAACTTAATAGCAGTTTGCTATTAGCTGGTATTGATTGTGCAATTATTGACCAAGTTTCACAGAGCATGGAATGTAAATTAGAATTATGCAAAAATCCACTTGATTTTCTGTTAACACGTTATTGTATTGATTCGTATTTTGCAGGACATCCTTTAATGGTTCAACCTGAAGTTCCTTACTATATGCCACGATTAGAATCACATTGTGGGAGTACTGATTTTGTTTATGATCAATTTCAATATGTTTCTGTGAATAAAACAGTATTCACTTTATTTCAGAAAAAAAGTTATGTAGAAGCTTTTCTGCATAATAAATACAGACCCGGTGTGTTAAGTAACTTTTCTGATGGAAGTCGTTTTAGGGAGCATTACCTCTTTAGTGATGTCTCTAAAACTTCAATTATGCTCCAATTGTTTTATGATGGCTTAGGTGTAACAAATCCACTTAGAAGTCAAGGTTCTATACATAACATTGGTGTTTTTTATTACACAATAAAAAATCTTTCACCAGTATTTAATTCATGTTTTGGTAATGTTCACTTGTTAGCAATGGGCTATACTCATGATATTGCAATTTATGGATTCGGACCAATTTTAGAAAAATTTGTATCTGAAATGTATGAGTTAAGCACTATTGGATTAAATGGCGTATTTCTAGTTTTAGGAAATCCTACAATTTATGCAAGTCTTTGTCAAGTTACTTGTGATAATTTGGCTCTCAATAGTTTACTTGGGTTTATTGAATCTTTTTCTGCCAGTTATTTTTGCACAATTTGTTACGCAACTAAGGAAGATGTTCAGACAAAATTTGAAGAAGAATTGTTTGATAAGCGTACTGTTAATAGCTACAAAACAGATCTGGATAACTTGAAAACAATCAGGTTTAGCAATGAAGCTAAATCAAAAATCCATTTCAGAGGTGTAAAGACTGAATGCCCACTTAATAAAATAAAAGGTTTTCATGTTACTGGTAACTGGTGTCTAGATATTATGCATACTTTATTGGAAGGTGTTGCTCTTGTTGAGTTATGGTGTATTTTTTATGGTTTGTGTGTGCTAGACAAGTGTCTAACCTTATCTGAAATAAATAAAGCTATGTGTTTATTATCGGGTAAAATAACTGTCGAAAAGACTCATAAACCTGTACAAATTTTAAAAATACAAGAACCAGGTCATGTACTTGCACCCTCAATAAAAGCAGTACAATGCTGTGTTCTGCTTAGGTATTTGCCACTAGCAGTAGGAAAAAACTGTTCTTCCTAAAAATAAACACTGGAAATTTCTGCTTCACTTGCCCCATTTCGTCGATTTGATATTTGCACCACACTTTACACATGAAATGTCTGTTTATATGAAACATGTTATTTCTGATCATCTATCTATGTTTAGTAAGTTATACTGTAGTGAAGAAGTTAGGTTACGTCCTAAGCATCATTTTCTTGTACATCTGCCAACCATTATTTTGAAATCTGGTTCACTTGTTGGCATGAGTTGTATGCGATATGAACTCTTTAAGAGAATTAAAAATTCTTTAAGAGATGTGCACTCATTGTATGTAATTTTACAAACATTTGTTACACTCTAGCGAACAGACATCAGCAGCAGGCCTTGGAAACTCAACTATCTAATAAACATATCCGCAATGTTGTAACCGTGGTTATGCACACCATTGAACCTATTTATTCACTTCCTTATCTTAATACTCTATAGAATACACTGTGTTTCAACTCATGTGAAGAAGTTGCTGTTTCAAAGGCATTATATGTTGCAAGTGTTGTATACAAACAAGGTCATTTCCTTGTTTTCAACTTAGATACGGAATCTGGGTTACCGAGATTTGGAAAAGTTGTTTGTTTTGTTTCATGTGTAAATAATAGTCAAAGTGAGATGTGCGATAGAAAGAATATTGGTGAATGGCATTTAGTTCTAGAAATAATAAAAACAGAAAATTTCACTTATCACCTTCACCTTCTTACGAAGTTATACATCCTCCTAAGCCTGTTTATGAAATTTTAAAACTTAATGATTTATTTGATTATCACCCGCTTTACTGTCATTCGTTGTTCTGTAGTTCTGAAAAAAGGCACTTCATTTGAATGCCTTATCACATTTTTTAATGTTTTGATATTTAATACATAATATATTATGAAAATAGAATACTCCTGCAGCTGTTTGATATGACTTTTAAAATCTACATTTAAAATTTTTTTTGTTACTTTGTATTTATATGCTATAAGATTTTTTAGTTTATAAGTTTTACTTAATTATGATAAAATGATTATTTTTATTAGTAATTTTTTGGAAAACGCTTTACAAATCTATGTTTAATGTGACAAAATCATAATTTAGATTTTAGTTTATACTTTGGTTAAAAAAATGAGTCTTATTAGCACATTGGCTTCTGTTCTGGATTTGTTGATTCTTCCTAGTGAAGTACAACAAAGTTTAATTGGTATGCTGAATTTTCAGGTGTATTTTAACTTTTTTTATGAAAGTTTGTCATAATAGATATATAAGATATATTTTTTGATTTGTTTGATGATTAAAAAGAACTAAAAAATATGCGTAATTTAAATACTAGCCAAAATAAGCGAGTTATAAAATCATTTTCTTATAGATGCTTTCATGCTTGGTTTGATGCTTTTTTGTAATAGGAAGATGACATTATAAAAAAATAATATACATTATAACAAATTATTAATTAAATCAAAAATATAATCTCTATTATTAGTTATTTTGCATTTTTATAATTTATGACAAAGTTGTATTATAGAAAACATTTGTATTAGTTGCTTTATTTCTTAGCACAATTAAATTTAATGTTACATACATTTTTGATATAATTAATTTCTTTAGAACCTGCGAGTAGATAATATTCTCTCCGAGCAGACGCAAAAACATGTTCCTATTTGTGGTCAGATATTGACTAACAAGTAAAGGCTGGAGATCCTATTAGCAAAGCTGAAATACTATTTTTTACTAAAGTTTGTGGGCGTTATCTAATGAAAAATTGTATTGAGTAAGTATTTTAAAGTCACAAGAATATTATAACTTAAAATAAAAAGTAAAGGAAATTGAAAAAACATTGTGTTAACTAAAATCTGAAAATATTGAGTAAAAAGAATTACATATTTAACTGAAAACTTTGTGATCAACTTCGTAAGTTTACTTAAAGTTTTTTTAACATAAGTTTACTTGAAGTTTTTGTTTTGTTTTAAGTAAACTATCTGAATAACTCTGAAAGTAAAATAAATTGAATTTGCATTTCAATTAAATTTACTTTCATTTATATACAGAAAAGATAGACCAACTCCAACTGAAAAGCAGGACATGTCGAAGTCAATTGTTGCTTGTTTTCCTACTTTGCACGATGAAACAGCTAGTGCTATGTGAGTAATAAATTTGTTATACTAAATTGTAGCAGTAAGAGTGTAGATTATAAGTTTCATATGTGAGACTGTAAGAGTTGTTTTAATACTGTAAGTATTACAGCAACTGTTACATGTACAACTTTAGGTAATATTGTAAGATGCTAAGTGTTATTGCATATTGTATAACAATGTTGGTTTGTAACACTGTAATACTATGACAGTGTTATATTTGCAGTATTATTTTGTTAGTGTAAGACTACAGGTTTCCTTTTAGGGATACTTTTTTGATAGAAAGTCATTTACTGGAAAGCTGGAACATTTTGTTCGAAGCAGACGATCAAATTGTAAAGACATAGCATCACTATGGAAACATCCTGCACAAAGCATAAAGTGAATATTTTTTCCTCAAGACTATTTTATTTTTAAAAAAATTAATTTTCAAAGTAATTAAATTTTTTTCTTGCTTTTCTTAACCCTTTAATTAGAATAGGTTTTAATAACAATATGGTGAATGATGTTAAAAGCTCTATACGGTTGCTCCGTGAACAAAGACCCAATGTTCAAAACAATTTAGAACTGAACCAGCTAATGGAGGTGACAACCCAGTAAGCACATGAACGTTTTTAAAACGTTTTTTTAACTAAGAAAAAAAACGTTTTTTAAACGTTCTGAATGGCAATACCTAAAAAACGTTTTTAAAAAAGCGTTTAAAAAACGTTCTAAAAAAAACGTTTAAAAAACGTTCTTAAATAACCTAAATTAAACCATAAAAAAACGTCTTTTAAACTTTTAAAAGACGTTATTTTTTAGAAAATATTCCTAAATCCATAGGTACTATTATTAAATTGTTTTTAAAAGAACCTGTTGGTTTAAAAAACAAGAAAAATAAAAAATTTATTTAAAAGTTATTTTTTAATTTATTTTTTAAAACAATTTACAAACAAAACAATATTATAACGATGATATCTGTTGGATTTAAGGCACTTTAAGACAAGCAAAAGTTGCCCGCTTTCACGAATCAGCAATTATTGCATCGACAATCGACTCTGTGTATAATTCGTGAGAAGTCGATGCACAAACTAAAAGAAAAAACTATATATTTAAAACAGACAATCTGAACAGCAATACTAGTATTATAGTATAATAATAATATATAGTATAATAATAATAATAGTAATAAGTTTTTAAATTACAAATATATGTTTTAAAAAAATATATATGACTTCACATTGCATATATATATATATATATATATATATATATATATATATATATATATATATATATATATATATACACACATTTTTGGCACGATATAAATAAAACAGCATCACATTAAAATAAAAATGACTCTGCATTGTCAGTAATAAGCGCCACTAATAAAACATAAGAAATTCTGACTAAAAG